TGGTGCAACCCTAACCTGGTGGTAGGCTTGACTTCCCCACAGCTGGGGGAATCCATTTCCAGAAACCTAGCAAGAGAGTAGATGGAGAGTATATAAAAACCAATAAACCTTTTGAAGAAAAACAATGACTTTCTATGTTTTGTGTAACTGATACACAAAATTCTGTTCTGAAATGGAACACTGGTTTTAGAACTGAACTTCAATTTTTGATATTTGGAAGATATTAGAGAAAAAGAAAATTTCTCTTTCAAAATATATATATATGGAAACTCCTAGTTTCTTTTTTAAGTCAAAATAACCAAAATTTTTTAAAAGCAAAACAATTCCTAAACCCTCCCTGCAAAAACAAAACAAAACAAAAAAAAACAACTTTGTCAATGCTATTCCAGTTGCCAGTGGCAGGAAGCCAGCTCCAAGCAGCTAAAGTGAAAGGGGGGAATAGAGACAGACTTAAATGCAAAGCCCCTTTGGTTCAGGTATGGGTGGACCTAGGATATTACATCATGAGAACCTTTCTCCACCTCTTAACTCTGTTGCCCTCTGCATTGGCTCAACTTTAAGCAGGGTATGTTTAACTGAAAACAAAATAACGCTAGAAGCTCCAGATTTACAATGAATCATGTAACTAACAAATCTCACTGTTAAAACAAAACAAAACAAAAGTTCCTCCTAGAGTTCAACAAATGTCTTTGGATTGGGTTTCAGAAGCCTGGCTTGGATCACAGGACCTCCCTGGGGACCCGCTCCTGCAGCTGCATCCCTTGGATTCCACAAGGACAATGGGGTGTGATTTGGCTTCCACAGGAAAACTTGATATGCTTTCACCAGGGAAGTAAGCTGCCCTCTAAGACCAAATGTTATGGTAACATCCATCTGCTGCCTCCACTTACCTATTTCCTCTTTTCCTCAAAAGCCTTTCAAGGCAAATGAAGGTACTATCTTCTGCAGACACACTCTCCAAATTCCACTGAGTTGTTTACTTAGAAATGGTTAATTTAAAAAACAAAGAGCTGGCCCAGATTCTCTCTTTTTGGTGATTGTCCCACAACATACTCATGCTTCCCTCAGTTGAAAATTTACCACACTTTGTGTAACTTTTCTTTCCTCTTTGCTTTTTTTTTTTTTTCCTGTCCTTGACACCTAGGACAATATTTGCCACAAAAGATGTAAATTTACAAAACTGGGCTGTTGTTGATGGCGACAGTTCTTTCTTGGGGTATACTGACAGGCCTACTATAATATCAGTTATACTGAATTTATTCTGAAATAATTCTGAAACACTCTCCAGCAAAACTTCGGTCTTTGATGTTGTTATCTTGTAGATAAAAATCTGAAAATTCAGCAACTGAGAAATGCATTTTTACCTAGTCTTGAAGGCCGGAACTCAGACAAGAACAGTAAAATATTAGCTGCTAAAGGAACTTAAAATAATTCATTAGGAAGTCCTAGCTCCTTTATTCAACACCAAGCCTAGTAAAATAATCATGATTCATCCCCAACTTCAGTTATACCCTCAGTTCATCTTCTGACTTCACAAAAATATAGGTTTTGTATTCCATTATGATCAAAGATACTTCATGTGAAAACAGCTTATGGAACAGCAATGCATGACTATTCAGATGATGTTATTTTTTAACATTGCTGAAATTTACCACTACTTAAAATACACTAACTACATAAATGGAGTCTAGAGAATACTCCTTTGCATTCTGCAAATTATATATGTACCCTGAGCCCAATGTTCACAGGTCTCATCCTTAGCCTTGGATGGAAATGAGCATTATTCCATAATAATCCACTTTCAGCATCTCAGGTTTTAGAACCATCCCTGTCAACTTGAACCCTATTGATCAAGACGTTTAAAGGTGTACTGAATGAATATCACATCCCGGGCCTACAGTTTCAGGAGAGACTTATACCAATGTGTGAGTGTCAAGGCAAAGGTCAATTACTGTGAACTGTTCAATGCATGGAGTTAGGTGTGCCACACACAAGGAGAGTCACCCAAATGTAACTTCTCATTCCACTTGACATTTACCTCCCATGCTTGGCTGTGAGAATCTGGTTTCACACTGGAGAGACGATGGACTATGCTAGACTTCTCAATGGGTGGCACAAGAAGGCAGAGAACCACGCGTGCTGCTCTTTAGGGGAAATTTCGGGGAGTTTTAAGTGTAGTCCCTCTACACAGTTATCTTCTACTGACTCCAGATAAGGTGCATTGAATCCTTGCCTGAGATAAGATGTGACTGCACATCTCAAGGCTGTTCAGTGCCTCAGTTAACACCATACGAACTCCGAGAGGGTAAGTGCCTCAATTAATACCATACAAACTCTGAGAGGGTTAAATTATTACTGGTCTTGTTAATATATAAGAAACAAGAGCCTCAGAGAGTTTAAATAAGTTTCTGACAGTTATATTTCAAAAAGTCCTACTACAATTCTTTTCCTCACAAGGATTCTGATAGTTATTTTTAGGAAATTTGTACACAGCAAAGGAGATGCATTTTGTATTATCTTGAAGGGAGCATTAATCATCTTAGACCAATGAACCTTTTAAGGTCTTACAATAGTAATTTAAATCATCAGTTTGTGCTCGGCAAGGGTTTTATATCACAAAATATGCCTCTTAATTGTTTAAGAGTTTAGATAATAAACAATCCATATTTGTAAAGTAAATCCTGTGAAATTGTGTTTCATCCTAGTAACATCCTCAAATACCTTTATCACTTAAGATATGGTTTCTTTTTCTATAAGAAACTTCAGAAAACACTTCAAAAGATCCTAAATATAATTTTGTTTGGATTTTTAAAATGAAATTGAAAATTGCAGATTTAAGAAATGCTTTCTCAAGTCCTTCTCCAAGCATAACACACCTAACAGAACAGAGCTGACATTTGTCCATGGCGATCCTTCAAAATAGAGCAATTAAATCAAGTTTGGGGGATTATTTATCTTCTAAAAATTACATGGCATATTTCTGCTCTAGGAAGCTATTGACCTTTTAAAGCTACAAAGCATTTTTATACAACAAAAACATTTTTATCTTAAAAGGTACACTACCATTTAGTCAAATTTGATAGTTATGGTTTTAATAGGCTGCAACCATGGATGATTATATTTGATAATATGATGACTGCAAAGCAAAAAAAAAATGGCATCTTAACACCAAGTTAAATTGCACCCAATATTCTAATGGCATAATTGCCCTAGAAGCTGTTCTAGCTTTCCAGCAATTCCCTACATGTCCTCTTCTCTGGCCATGATCAGGGCAGGTAAGGATGGGTTGACAGAGCCACACCTGTGCACTAACTCAGACAAATGAAGTGGTTTCAACTTGAACTTTATGCAGTAAGCTTGTTGTATTTAAATTATTTTCACACACATTTAATTTCTCCCCACTTGCTTCTTCAGTTTAGGAATCACTCATTTTAGAAGGAGCTGGGGTTTGTCCTTAGCCTCTCTGAATTTCAGTGTCCTGCTGGCCTGCCCCAGACTCCATCTGAAGCCCTGGTGCCTGAGTAGTCTGCAACCTCAGCAGGAAAAGGCAAGGACCCTTAGCCTTGTCCCTCTGAGAGATTTCTGATCTCTTACCAACCCTTTCTAGGCATTCTGAATTAGGGTCGCAAATGATTAAAAAGAAAATGGGTAAGTATTTATTGACAACCTCAACCTCACTGTGGGAGATGTCCTCTGATATCTCCAGAGGGGCATGCCAGAGAGTCCACAAGCCAATTGATTTCTGAAACTCCTAGAGGCCACAGAAAAGAGCTAACCTCTGCTCCTGGAGGTAAACAATACATCATAATATATTTATTAACCTGGAGGCGTTTAACTAAAAAATGTAGCCCTCACTGTATTCCCTGAACCTCTCCCCTTTCCCTTTCATACCATCTCTTATTCTGCCTTTCTTCTTTCTCAATTACCCAGAACCGCAGGGTGAGAAAAAAACCTTGCAGGCTAAATTACTCAACTCCTCCGGCTTTGTCTTCTCCAGGCAGCTTCATACCTGGCTTGCTTCCATTCATCTTGGTAATTATTATTATTTTCCCCATTTGTTGTGAAATTGTTGCTGCCTACCGGGCAGGCACAGAGAACATGGTCACTTGTTTCTAAATGGTAGAACCAAGATGAGCTTGACATCAAAAAGTTCCTATGTCATAAGGTGAGGTCTAGGACAGACCCGCCCAGAAGGATTTACATACCCTCACAGTCCTTCACTATCTTACTACATCCAGGGAAGACCAGCCACTCAAGTAGTGAACTAGTAAACAAACAAATTATTGTTTTGCCATGTAAATAGCATACCTGAGGATCATCTTTCTCCTTTAAAGTTGAAATTAAGGGAGAATTGAGAATTAAAGGAGGAGCATCATTGGTTAGAGACACTTTATTATAAATTAGGATGCTACTTTGTTATAATTTAGTGATCAACTGGTAATTTAGCCAGTTGTAACAAGAAAAGAGAAAAGGACAGTTTTTAATAATACCAAGGAAGAAAAGGCAATTTTGGAGGCTGAGATATTTTGTAGGTGGAAACAGAACCAAAAAAAAAAAAAAGGGGGTTGAGGGGTCCTGAAACAAATTGGGAAATTTAGGATGTCAGGGGAAATCTAGTTATCTAAATTCTAGATACCTACTGGCACCTAAACATGGGTGTGAGGGGCACCAGGAGGTAGGGAAGATAGAAAAGTGACTGATAGCAAAAAAACTGAATACAGGTAATTGTACTAGGATTAGAATTGTGTATCTATATTAATAACATCTATGTGCCAAATTGTGGAACTTACATTGAGTGGTCTATAGAACAGTCATGACAAAGTTAACAGTGAACATATGATCACCATCATTTCAACATGATTTTGTTTTGCACATACCCCCCCCCCCCAATAAAACCAAACCAAACAAATGTTACACATAAGACTGACAGCACTTGAGCCTGGGCAGCCCTTGATGACAAGGCCAGAAAGTTCACACCTCATTCACGTGCAAGTACTCACCGATTCTTTAAAGCTGGCTCATTTAAATACACCTGCCTTCTCCCTTTTTGATGTCATGGGTGGGCTTCAATTTTGCTTTACCATCTGGTTTTGCAAATTGTTAGTTCCTGTGGATGATGACAAGTAGAGGGATTAAAGGAAGTACAGGATAACGAACAAACAAAAGTAGGCATAAATCAGATGTCCAGGGCTGTTCACTTGGGGCAGACAGACTGAGGTACTGCTGGTCTGTGGCCGGCTTTATTTCCCACTCTAGGTCTAGAATACTCTGAGAAAGCATAAAGGATCTTTCTGAATGCATGACTGCTACTTGGCGGAAATAGCAATCATTACACATGAGTCCTAGCTAATGAGATATTCCTTCTTATTTCCAAAGAAATCCCACCACCTCCTTTGGAGATTCTAAGAGATCTTTCATCCTGTCTAAAATGTACATGGGGTGCAAGTTACATGAGGATCTAGCTATACATCGGATCACTGGCAAAAACATACTAACTTAATAGCAGACTAGGCTGCAATCCTATTTCTGCCCACGTTTATCTTGAAAGAAATCCTTCACTGGCCCTTATGCAACTGTAAATGAGTTTTAAAAAGTATTTCATCTCTACAGTGCTGTACAATTTACAAAGTAATTGGATATTCATTATCCCCTTTGATTTTTATAATATGTTGTATCTCTAGTTTCAAAAGGAGGATACTGGTACCCAAAGGGCTTGTGTGGCCAGCATGAGGACGTGTAGTGACTGCTTACAAAGCCGGAACCCAAACTATGTTTTCTGACTCCTAGCTCACAACTGTCACATCAGCAGTGTTTTTCTAATTTTCAAAGTCAAGCTAACTATACAATGGACAAGAATGAATGCATTTCAAAAGTGTAATATAGCTTTATATACAACAAAATGATCTTGCATTCTATCCCAGAACTCAAGTGTTTTAAATGATACCAAAGACATTTGTTTGCATCATAAGATAGTAAACTCCAAAAAAAAAAAAAAATCCTGAAGTCAAATCAGACCTCACAAATATTCCAAAACTTTCGTAAGTAAAAAAAAAAAAAAAAAAAATGAGGAGCAAGGGGAGAAGCTACCGAGCAAGCATGCTGTTATCAGAGCAGCACCTTGGCTGTGTCCTGGCACTCACTCCACAACCCACTGCCACCACAGCCAGCTGCTACCACAGCATCCAGCCTCCACCTTTGGTATTCCTGGCCCTTGCTTTTTTGCCTCATACCAAACTTTGCTAATTTCATAGTACTGTACCATATTTCTTGGTATTATGTAAAGTACCCTACTTAGGCATGTTGACTTCACTAATTAGTCTATAAATACTTGACTTTTACCCACTGCTTTGGTAAGTGAGATAATTATCGAGGAAAGGCCAAAGCATTTATGGTCAATCAGATGAAGAGAAAGGGAATATGGTCTTTTAGCTGAGTAAAATGTAAAACATTATGTGGCAAGGCAGAAGCTATTAGCAGGATCAATATCTCTCCTAGTACCTTCATAGATCATTACATCAAAGGCTGGACACAGGATGGAGAAAACCTCAGTCTACCTCCATACAAGCTTCCAAACTGGTAAATAAAATTCCATGTAAGTGACAAAGACCTAATTGGTTGTACAAAGGATATGACAAGCTACAAAACCAATCTCCCGGTTCTGAGTATATAAAGAATTTTGAATCATTAGTGAGGAAGAAAAGTAGGAAGACAAAGAACACTGCTACTCTCTGGGCTGCACATTTATAATTTGCAACTAGTAAATATGTATGAATCTGTTCCACTGCAGTGAGGGATGACATACTGCTTTCTAGAGATAGCACAGGGCAGAGAAATCAAAGTAGAGGACGGATCAGTGGTTGCAATCTCCCTCCCCCCTCCTCCCACGTTTAGCAGTTCTCAATCTTCCAAATCTTCCCCTACTTAAATTACTCAGTTGGGTACAGTTTCCTAAAATGAAAAGGACTTTGATAGCAGTGAATGTTCAATGTATAGAAAAAAGCATCCTGTGGCGAGTTCTCACTGTATCATGAGACATAAATATTAGTATTTTTTCCCCTAAACCCTTAATCATTCCCATTCTCTTTGATGCTCCTAGAAAAACAAGTGAGCAATTAAAAGAAGTTTCTAGGCTTACTGGTCCAGTTTTCTCTTTTAACTCAAGAACAATTTTTCTTTTCTATTATGGAACAAAAAGACAAAAGGAACATTTTACAGAGATTAATATCATATAAGGTTAGGCTTTCCCTTAAGGCTGCAGTATTTTCCTACTTGTTGAGATGATGGTGAATACAGACGCTATTTTAATTCTACTACAACTTTTGTTTTGTATTTGTAAAGTTTAATCGAAAATATTCTTTTTCTGATGAGTTCAAACCACTTTACTAGAAATCTGTCAAACTTCATGGTAAGTTAGAATGATGAGCTTGCATCAGAAAATTTGTTTAGAAAGGTCATAGCTGGCAAATTCAGCAACAAAAGAAAGCAAAGCTCTCCCAACATCTTGAAACATTCATTCATTCATGATTAATTATTTTGTTCAGTAAAACATTTTCAGGAATTTAAATACAAGGCTTAGGTATGATGATAATTATATTAAAGAAAGCTCCACAAAGGTTCTATCCTCCAAGAACTTGACAATCTAAGCATGTATGTTAGTAACACAACACTTAAAACATTCAACAATATTAGAAGATGTAAACTATAATTCAAAGTAAAAGTCAACTGTCACAATTACCACATATGGTCATGTGCCAAAGAATGAATACACTAAGATTAAAGGAAATTTCTACTGGCAGAGGTTATTAGGAAGAGACACAAAGGACTAGCTAGCTAGATGTGATTCAAGTAGGTGGAGAAAAGAACACTTATTCTCATGGATGGAGAAAGTTTGAACAGGCAGGTGCAAGTACACAATGCCATGCAAAGAGATGGCCCTGTGGACATGTTGCAGTCCAGGGGTGGGTCCTCCCCAAGAGCCAGGAAAACTGTGTGAGCCTCAAGTCAGGAGAGTTTTTCCTTAAGATGGGAGAAACGTGGAGAATCAGGAGAATGTACATTCCATTCCCTCATCCAGAAGGACTGGGGGAATTGAAATGGCAAAGGAAGGGATGTGACCAAGAAGTGATGGAGGTGTGAACCTGGGTAAAGAAGCCTGAGGCCATCAGGAAGCTTGCCTACCACAGCAATGAGGTTTCAGAAGATGAGGAGCAAGTCACATCTCCAAGGAGGGGGCAGGGGGATAATGGCTCTTTTTGTAGCAACTCCCTGACAGGTTCAGGAATGAGTGTGTGTGGGGGGGCCTCCTGTCTGGGAGGGGCAAGGATGGCAGAGATGAGAATCAGGTAGCTTTGATCTTCTACTTCTGAGTGAAATCAGAGGTCCCGCTGGGTCAGGAGCTGCACACAGTGCTAGGAACAGCACCTCACCGGCCTCTCCCATCCCTGGCAAGGGTAACATCCTAAGATACCTTAGAGTCAAACCTGCCAGATTCCAGCAACTTAAGGAGGTGAGCTGAAAGTAGAGATTCATTTTGAGACTGGAAGCATGAAAAACAGGAATGGTGAGAAACAAGGCATAGGGAGATGTGTCATTAGGAGGCCACAGGTTATACTAAGTATTAAACTGACGTTCTTCTACCCTCACACCCTCTCCTGTCTTCTGAAGTTTAAGTGAATTTATGTCCAGTGCCCCACTGTGGGAAGTCGCAAGAAGAAAGAAAAAAAAAAAGCTGGTGTTGATGGGAGAAGAGCCCGTCTGCAAGAGCCCCGCCATGAAGGATGCTGAGGGGAAGGCTGCCCCAAGGTGCCCTCTGGGAGCTGGAAAACCAACCCAGTGCAGAGCTGTCCAGAAGGCAGGATCTGCAGAGTTGGGGACCTCTGGGGATACCACAAAATGTCTATGCCAGGCAAAGAGTGTCCAGCTGACAAATGCCTTTTCCGCCCGGCAGAAGCACCTTTCTGCCGACAGTTTTTTAGCAGTGAGGCTATCAGCTATCGTGTTGATGACAGGGCTCCACTGGCTGAAAGAATTTTGCAGTCTCCAGTCTGAACAATTCCTCTGGGTGTCCTTATTCAAGCAGCAGTTAATTTGAAAACAATTAGCCGGCCACTCACTTCTTTGAGGCACAGCAAGATTGGACAGGCTGTCAGGCTGGACGAACATCCCGGCACAACACTCTGAAGGGGCCAGAGCGTTTCCAGGAAGGATCTGGGTTTGTACTGGTGTCAGGAGAAGTCCAGCACTTCTAACCTGATGATAGTGAATCACTCAGCTATTTGCCTTAGTTGCTAGGGCATACTTTATTTTTCCTGTGACAGGGAGATCCTTTTACCTTTCATACCAGATAGACCGACTATTCATTATTTTTCTTTTTATCATTTTCCACTCTTCCAGGTCAGGGGCAAAAATAGATCATATGGCAAATTACAGATGGGAAATCAACAAAAGATAGAGATTAAAGAGAAACATATTTTTATTAATGAAACTCTTAGGTTGGTGTTCAAAGTAGCAGACGTCCATTTACCAGCTGACCAATGTAGTCTTGAGACTGATATTCCTTTCTAATCAAAGAGCATTTCTTTTCTTCCACTTACATCCTCTCCCATACTTGGTCCCTTTAAGGAAGACAAAGACAATATGAGAAAACTCTTCTCTTTCTCACTCTTCTGAAAACTTGTCCCTCTTCTCTGAGAACTATTTGGCTTCCATAACTAAGAATGCAATAAATAGGGCAAAAATATGTTACTAGAGACTCTCTCAGTTCACTGCAGTACTCCTTCAGCTAACTCTGGCAAATTCACACACATCTGGCCTGTTGGCACATCTATGCAGAATTCAGCTGTGCCAGAACATGGATGAGAAGATAGCTCTCAGAGAGAAACACGCCCCTGCCTGCTGACCCCCAAAATGTGCAAAGGTCATGGGCCACAAAAATAGCCCCTGAAAATACGGGCCCCCTTATTTAGTGCCTTTTGCATTTTCAGTGCTCAATTATCTTCTTAGAACTGGTTTTATACCTTGGTTCTTTATAAACTACACCGGAATCCAGTACTTGGTTCACAATTTTACTTTGTGTAGGACACAGAAGACTACAAAATTCAGACAGAT